ATATTAATAATCTTAAAACTTGTTGTAGTTTTTTGTGGAGGTTGTTGCGCATTTTTTCTTCCTTACTAGTCAGTTATATATGTACATATATACATATAGAGAGATAGTATTAGCGTGTGTGTGTGTATGTATATTGAAGTAAGATCTATTTGTTTACCGTTTATGCACAAATAAAGGTTATTTTGTATATTATATTTATATCAAATAAGGGAAATTAACAAACAGAAGAAAGGGTTCAAAAAATTTCTCATTGATCCAATTGATTCTTATTCTTTAATGACTTTTTTTTCAGCAACGGCTTCTCGTAAAGAATCAATATCATCTTCTGTTATTTCAACAAGTTGTGCAATTTGTTTTGGTTCATCAGATAATGCTAAATAAAGTTGATTGACTTTAGGTTTTTTTTGGTTCAGGTATGGGTACTAATTTCTTAGTTTTTGGATCAGTTACTTGACCACCACTACCTATTTGCATATAATGAAATAATGGTTCTTCTTGATCAATCGGTCGACCACGTATCTGATCATATTTTTCAAATTCAAGTGTATAATAATCTCGTGGTGGTATAGATTTTGTCGAACTACCTACATATTGATATAATGTAATTTTTATACATTGCTTGTTTTAAGATACAAACCTTTTTTTAGAATCTGTCAAAATACCAATAAATGCAACGTCATAATGAGTTACTAGTTTAACAGCTTCTTCTCGACCAGTAAGAATTTTCATGATTATTTTAAAAAACTAAAAAGAAAAAAACGATTATTCGCGTTAGTAATATGTAAAGATCGATATATATTTCTAGTTTACTTGTTATATTAATGGATCTTTTGTCTGTTACTAGTAACTACAATCCTGTCTTTTCGTTGACTAATGAGCAGATATTATTTGTATATTCCTTTTCCTTTTTTTTCTTCTATCTCTCATTCTTATTTTCTCTCGCTGAATATATGAAACTCTCTCTCTCTCTCTTTAACTACATATTTCGCCCTAGATAAAAAAGAACTTTGAGAGAAAACTGTTTATATATGTCTCAATATTAATAGATGTTCGAACGTCAACATACACATATCTTCTTTTCTTATTATAGAACAGATAAGTGATGACAAATTACCGTAATGAGCAATTGCTAGTTGTATATGCTCGCGTACATGTTTGACACTATGATTAATCTAAGTTAACCTTTGATAACTATGTTTTTTATTGTTCAATTTTGTTTTCTTATGACATTAACGATGG